AATTTCAATAGAAATATTTTTATAGTAATATTATTACTAATTATCTAAGATCTACTATCAATATAAAATATATTTCTAATTATATTAATTAATTAATTTATTCAAATATAACTATAAAAAAAAGATCCTATATAATCAATATATTTTAAAATCTATTTCTAAGTATGAAATCTCAGAATAGTAAGAATACAAGAATAATTTCATTATATTCAATTCATATAAGATTCAAATGAAATATAAAATATTTAGATCGTAAATCAGAAATTAAACAATAAATAAATAAAATAATAGAAGAAATTAAAAAAGAATATAGAGAATATTTTAAATAGACTTTAATATTCACGAATAAATATATATATATTATAATAATATTATAAATCTTTGGTAAAATGATTGAGTAAATAAATCCCAGAAAACAGAATAGGTAATATTATGATTTATGAAAATGATTGAGGGTAGGATTTATGAAAATAGGATGGAAAGGTACTCAAATAAAAATGGTGGTAAGACATATATGAGGTGCCGATATTAATGATGAGGCAAAAGATAGAATGAATGAGCGCGACAGAATTGTTATAATGAATTAAGCGAAGATAATGATGAAAACGAGTAGAGAGCGAATAAGGTGGCACAAATGGTATGCTACAAGATCCAGAACATACCCTGATATATGCCCCAGCCCATACCCCAGAACCAACCTTTTTACAGTCTTTTCCCTCAGCGGCTTCGGCTGCAAGGACATGAAACCTGGAAGTCTCCCGTGGCGTGCTCAGCTTCGTCGTCTTCCGCAAGTTTCGGCTGCATGTCCACGTTGAGCTCCTCGTCGCTGTCCACCGACTTGCGCTCTTCCTCAGCCTCCTCGTCGGAGTCGCTGACGGCATCTACGTCCTCCATTGCCTCGTCCTGGTCCTGGTCCTCGCGCTCGTCCCCAACGACATCAGACCTGGCTTTGCCCGTTGTCTTGTGCTTTCACAGCAGCTCCCTCGCTCGGACTCAGTCTGATTCGTTCAAACAGACGTGCCTGCAGCTTCCGTGGCGATCTGATACAGGGTGCGCTTGGCTGCAGAGTCCTCAAGAAAAGCCAGCAGCCGGTGGTCCAGATTCCGAATCACTGCAGTCCTACTCCTAGCCATGCGATTGCTTTCAAGGAGCGTGTCCAACCGTGTCTAACCCCTAAAAACACCGAATACCTCCAACGAGACCTACACAGGCGGCATCTTTTCACAGTCTCAAGATCATGCACCGACCAGATTCCAAGGCGCGGACCGGCTGTGCTCTCACGAGAAATCTCCTGGCCTGAACTCAACCGACACACGGCTGCGAACAGCTCTGTTTCTTGCACATCACATCCGCCTACACCTCACCTGACCCAATGAGCCTAGAGTGACCCGGCCGGGATTCATTCTCCACCATCCTGGAGCTGCGCAGAGGCGGGACGGCCTTCTTACAGTGAGGATGCCAAGCGGCTGCAACGGGGCCTCAGCCAGTTCGACCGACCAGCACGGGTTGACGGAGCCGTTGAGGGTGAAGAAAGACTTCGCACTTGCATGTTGGCTCTAAGCGTTCGGCCCGTAAAGCGTCTTGATCACCCGAGCAGCCACTTTCGGAGGATGGCTGCAGCCGCCACCGGCCGTCATGGAGCCTTTCGTGCGAGGACTGGACGACTGATCATACAAGAAGATGGCAAAGGTAAGCCACCTAATCGAGAAAGTTCTCTCCTCGCACATACTTTGTCTACTGGGTTTGGAGCTGCTGAAGCACGGTTGCCGCTGGCACTTCCCCCACTTCGCGGCCGACGCAACTGAGGACCATCGGAAGCTTGTCATCTGCCGGAGCTTAGTTCGGGATCCGGGTTGAAACAGACAAGGGTGGCTCTCGCGTCGACATCGGAGGTAATGGCCTGAGGATCCCTCTCCCTTCCACTGCCCTTGCAGCGTTTCGCAGGTCCTCGGGGTGGTGCACCAGCTCTCATGTGGCCAACACTTCAGCCTGGCGGGGTGAAACCCTGAAGCGCCTTGCGGCGTTGGCACGCCCAGGATGCGGCCGCTTGGGCACAGGGCTCTGAGGGCAAGCGAGCCTCTTCAAGAAAGCTCCTATGCTGTAAGACGACGCGACCGCCAATCTTTAAGTCCTTCACCCTTCATCAAGCTATGCACATGTCCTGAGACGCCCACAATTTTCATGATGTCCGGAGAGATACGCCGGTGCCCAGGCAGGCGCAGGCCCTGTCGCTCTCACTCCAGCTACTCTTACAGTTTCCAGCCAGCCCTCAGAGTTATCTTTCCTGAGTTTTTGCCAGAAGTCTGGCGAGAGAAAACGGCCCTCTTCAACGTGGGAGTGCGCCAGCTCCCGGGCGCCTTGGCCGCAACGAGAAACTGTCCACGGCACGCGGCACTGGCCTCAGAGCTGCTCAAAGGCACAGTGAACGGTTGATGAACCGTGAGACCGGGCCCTTCAACAGGCTAAGTTCATTGCCCAGCATTCACTGCATGTAATGGTGCAGGGATTGATCAAATCCCGACGAAGACCATAGCATACCAGAGCCAACCATGGAGCCCTACGGATCACTGATGTGCGACGCAAGGTGCCTTTGATCATCCTCTTTCTCGAATCTTCACTCCTGGCACGCAAAATCGGCTCTGCAGAATTGCGATTCACCGTTGATTGTATTCGTACCCTCTCGTACATCCTCTTGCTATCACAGAACATTGCGTAGGCAAAAATTCACATCGCAGTTGTCTTACAACGAAACGAACTTTTTCGACACATTTCTATCCTGCCACAGGTACATCACAAAGCTGCGCATGAGCCTGAGAATTCTCCGCTTGTGGGCCAAGGCCGAAAAGGGGACCGTCATCAGCACCTTCACGAAGTTGCATCATGCCGCGTCACGTCTCTTCAGTTCTCTGCAGCAACTTTGTTCGCATGCACCGGTCTGCCTGACAGCAAGTCCAGCGCGCACACTTTGAGGATCTCGAAGAAATGCTCGCCCTCATGGTCGCCGAAGCTGAAACCTTGCATTGCGGCTGCTGCCAGCCAAGTGCCCGATTTTTGTTTGTGAACTTCGCAGGCTCTGCAGGTCTTTCAGCCACATAAGCAGACAAGGCGCTTGGAAGCAGATCTGCGGTGACTTCTTGCAGAGTGCGACACCCTTCCCACAGCCACAGCATCGACATGCTCTCAGCGCAAACGACGAAGGCGAGTAAAAACTGACTATCTGAGCCAACTGGACGTCATGCACTTCTGCAACATGGTGTCTCTGACACGCAGCATGGCATGTCAAAGATGCAGCGGTCGAACAACTACCCGAATTATAACAATCCCAAACGGCTACCCCAAAGGGAGGGAGGGTGGGAAAGAAATCTCTGCTGGTCTGCAACAGCCGGCAGCCTCAACACGTCGGCATTTGCAAGATTTCGCAATATTCACATGTTCCCTGTTCCCCCAGACTGCAGGCATGCACTTTGAAAGAACATGTCCACGTCTTAAAACAAAGAAAACTCCTTTATCATATTTCAAAATTCTTCCCATAAATATGTCCAAAGATTCCAAGCTCAAACATCTCACAGCAAATATCAAACAAACTCTGTTTTTTTCACACGTTGCAATCATCCCGCCTTGGGTACCGGTTCCGCAAGGTGATATATCCAGGCACTGAAGCAGAAGCAGGTTGCAGGCAGGGAGTGCACGAGACCGGGCACGACACCGGGCCCAACCGAGGGATATGGTCGTCTCACAAAAGCTCCAGTGGTGAATGGAGGGTCACCGGTAGTCGCGCGCTTGGGGTCTCCTTCAGGTGTGAGGCATGGCTGAGACTGAGAGAGAGACCCAGTTCACCCCTGTCGTGATCCGCAACCTGCTTTGTCAGAGCCCGCTCTCCTGCCAGGCCATCTTAGGCAACGGCTCGACCCTGCAAATCTCTTGCGACTGCTGGTCCAAGGGGGCGCTACCCCGTGATCGCGAACTTCGACTCGCTCGGAGGCACGGTCAAGTCCATCGACGGCCGCGTGAGCACCCTGGAGTCGGACGTCGCGTCCATCGACGGCAGGGTCACCACCCTGGAGAACAGCGGCGGCATCGCCCCCACCGCCGATCTGACGGTCAACAGCCTCACGGCCACGAGCTTCGTGGACACCCCGCTCCGGAGCTCGGCGGGGGACCTGCAGGTCCAAAACGCCTTGGTGACGATCCGCAAGGAGGACGGCGCCTTGCTGGCTTCCTTCGCGGACGGCGGTATTAGCCTGGACCGGGACGTCACGGTGGCTGCTGCCAGCACCCTGAACGCCACCACCGCGGACTTCGCCCAGTTAGAATTCGTTCTTCCGCTGCCTCAAGCGTGATGCTAAGCCGAGCAAAGGCGGCCAAGGTACAACAGATCGAGTGAAGAGGATATGCGGATACCGATGAGAACCCCGGCGAGCAAGCCAATCCGGAAAATGGGAGCTTCGAAGGGTCCTCGCCTCCAGCGGGCTGTCCGAGAAGCCCTGTACCCTCGAAACTGGGAGCGCGTTTCAGCGGGCGGTAGCGGCTCAGCAAAGCCACAAGAAGGGAACTCAGCGATCCTGCTCCTGCTCCCACAGCTAGCCGAACCTCAAACGAAACAGGAAAGAGCTCTTCTTGATTGTTGAGTTCTCTGGCGGCGTATTCTCGGCCAATATCTCATGTCAAAGCGATGAAACATCCGCATGCAATGAAAAGAGCTTCGAAACCCTTGTGTAACGCATCGAAGGGCAAGGCTCCTCCAACAGAGTACGACTTCACCCTGTGGTCCGTTTTGTCTCGGTCATCACGAGGCACTGCCATCAAGGCAAATCGCCAGTTACTCTAGTTGCAACTACCACGCTGACCCAAAATGAACGACTGCACGTCGTCATTGAGGTCTTTGATACAAGTGCCTGCTCAACAAACTTCTTAAGGCTTGCTGACGTGCACTTGAGGGAATCTCCTGAGGAACAGCAGCCCTGGCACGCTGCCAAACCATCCAACTTCTGTCGTAAGGATATCATGGTGGCTACTACCAGTCATGTTCCAACTCAGAGATTGTAGGCAGCCAGAAAGATGCACTTTGTGCTCTGTCTGGACAAAAACTTGGAAAGCCAGTCGCTGACTTGGCCCCAGTTGTTGTGGCATTATCCGTGCGGCCTCAGACCATCAGAATGTCATCATCCTGATGGGACAACGACACAGCTGTTTTCGCCTCACTCTCTCTTCCCTTAGGGCCCAGGGATGCAGGAAGTGGAAAGGATGCCTCAAGACGTCGGAGCTGGGCCCTGGCTACTAGGCGCTGTTGGTCTTGAAAAGCCTTTCTGGCAGCTGGCCTGGCCTGGGGGGTACAGCAAAGATCTGCAGAGCAAAGGCGTTTTTCAGTGAGACTCTCATCACAGTCTACGCCCAGAATTCGAGGATAGTCCTGTGCGAGGGGTACTCATACCGAGCTTCTTGTTGGACTTTAGACTTGTAGACCAGGGCATTACGTTTCTCTTGCGTTCTGCAGTTCTTCGAACTGCTGCAGCTTCTTGTTGCAGCTTGATGTGTCCTGCAAGTGAAATTCGGGGGAAGTCCACGTCGACACTAGCTCTTGATGAAAGCTTTCCCGGTGCATGATTATATGTATTGGGCACAGGATGCACCCTTGGCCTCTTCCAGCTTTAGATCTTCTCGAGCAGGCTCACCTTGGAGAGCCCGAACCCTGCGAATCGAGCCCTTGTCTGCACAGGTCCGTTGCAAAAAAGCAAAGATGCGTCCGAGCCACGCTCACGGGCGACAACCTTGGGCGACGTGGAGCACGGGTCTGCATGGGCCAGAGGCAAGCACGGTTGGTGTGCAAGACATTGGCTTCATGCAGTGCCGCTGGGCTGTTCTGCTTGTCATGACGGGGAGAACGCTACGTTAACGAGCTCAAACCAAAGCTGAACCAAAGCGAAAAGCTGGAAGGCAAATCGGAGTTACTTCTCGAGGAACCCAGACTCAGCCCGTACACCTTCCGAAAACAAAGTCACCTGAGCTATGACAGCCCTGAGCAAACGGAATCAACGTCTCCTGCAGAGCGGGGATCACTGAGCTCCGACCGGGGTCCGGGCCAAGTCTTCATCCTGATCCTGGACGCGTAAGACGTGGCTTTGGCTGCACATGAGGCTTGCGTGGGCATGCACCAGGCCTCCGTGAGCTCAATGCCGGCTGCGGCAAGGGCCTTTGGGAGATGCAGGAAATCATCCCTTTAGCTGCTTTACTGCTTCGTCGAGGCTTCCTCCCTCCAAATGGCAGAAGGCCCTGCGCCGCAACTCATGTTGGTGCTTGGGGATGGGGCAGGGTCTTCTGGGGGCCACGAGGCGTGGGGAGCCACGACAAAGGGGACTGCAAAGAGTGGGTTCAAACTAAGAATCAACGACTCCACGAGCATCAGCGAGCATCGATCTTGCGATCTGGGGGAACACAGCTTGGAGCCTGAAATATAATGAGAAAGGCCGAGTTGCATCCTCGAGAGCCAACTCCGAGTCCTGAGCGCAACAAGCGCAGAAAAGCGGCGCTTCCGCGCCCTGTTTCCACGAGCCGGGCCTTGAAGTCGATGCCGGCCTCGGTCGAAAGAGAGACCCAGCTTGATACTGCTTTCAACACCTTTGAAAAGCCTTCGGGCTCACAAGCATGGTGCAGGCTAACACCAACGGCTCTATCCCACATTAGATCCGGAGAGCGTGGGCATCTTCAGGGACACACATACAGACATACACATTCAACCTTCAAGCTCAACCTCCGTCTGTGCCGGGGCCCATGCTGACAATGCTGACTGGTCGTCGTCCTGGCCAGCTGGGAATTTGTGCTGTCGCATCTGAAGTCTGCTGCACCGCTTCCGAACAGTTTAAGCGTGCTTGCATCTGCGCATGTTTGCTACTGGCTGCTACGAGTACTGCATCGCAGGACAGGGCCGACCGGCCGACCTCCAGGACTTCAATGCCAGCGGCGGCAAGCGCCTCGCTACGTGCTTCTTTGCTGACGGAAAAGCCAAGAAAAAGCGGCAGCTCTGAACTCTCCGCGCTCGACTCTGTGATGCTAGTGCTGTGGGCCAGCAGGTTGGCCCTGCCTGGATGCGGGACTCTGCAGATTGCTAGAGCTGCATGGATATCTTGCTCGCGAGTCTCTGGGTTGGGGGGGTGCTGCGGCCGAAACGGAGCTGTCAGCGAATCGCTCTGAGAGCTTCGCTTCACGGAGCTCCGCTTCACGTCTCTCAGACTCCGGGACCGACTGCTCATCATCCTGTAGCAAATGCTATAGTTGTTAAGCGACTGCTCTGAAGCGCAGGCTGCCATGCTGGCGGTTCGTGTCCTCCACGAAGTCAATGCCGAGCTCATCGAGAGCGTCGAGGGCCTGAGAATTTCTGAAGGTGAAGTCCAGCGAGGAGGTTTGCAGTCTCTTGCCCCCGGAATTCCTAGTCGCTTTCGTGACTGCAGATGACGCCGCCGAGGTCCGGGCCTCCTTGAGCTCCAGTTCCGTGTCCTGGCGCGAGCAAAGCGATACCTGGAGCTCGACCCAAACCTCTTCCGCCATAATCGCGCCGCTCGCGCCGCGCCTCGCAGGAATCCACGACCACCGCTAAAGTCTCCTGAACGGAACTCATGCTCCAAGTTGGTCATAACTTCTAGAAAGCACCCGTCCGTCTCCTCGGCCCCTTTGCCCTTCGTAGCGTGGGCGTTGCCGGCGTGGCCGGGTGTCGGCATGATCAGCCCTTGCGTGGTCGCTCCAGCGGGCTGGGGGTGTACTCAGTGTACTCTTTCTCGACTCTTCTCTTCATCTTGCAGACTCGCGGTTTTGCAGAGTGGCACTGCGCAGGCCTTTTTTTGGATTATCTCCCTGCAGACCACGAGTTCAAGCTGATGACATGATCCGAGCGAGTTGCACTCTGCAGCACGTGTACCGACGTAGCAAGCTTGCAAACCTCGAGCCAGGTGACTCTCCGGCTGTTCGAAGTCCACCTCTCCCGATGCTGTTGTTGGCTCCTGCAGCGCCGGGGGCGAATGCTCTTGGAAGTTAGCCTCTCGGCTGTGAATTGATACCTCCCTAAACCCCAATGCTTGGGGGTCTTGTCGATTTCCAGGCTAATCGCAAAGGTTATGCTTCCGAACTCTAGACTCTAGCCGTTTCAGCTCGGACTTTGACACTTGCAGCGGACACACCTCTGCGT